TTTTTCTATTTTGCATATGCAAGTGTTATAACCTTCTCATATCAGGCATTTGCACTTACTAATGGACTCATCTGATGAAGTGGGTTTTATCACGAAAGCTCACGACCTAATATATTCCTTAGTCTCAATTGGGTGCCGAGGGACTGCTTGTTGTTATTAATGGTTCTGCAGGGGTTTGTTTTTGGACCGTCTCTGTTCAGTATCTTCCTCAACAACTTCGATGATGGCATAGAGAGTATGCTTATTAAGTTTGCAGGTGATACCAAGCTGGGAGGGGTTGCGAGTGCTTTGGATGATAGGGTAAAATTCAAAATGATCTGGACAAACCAGAGAAATGGGCTGATGCAGTTCAATAAGGACAAATGCAAAGTACTCCATTTAGGAAGGAACAATCTGTTTCATACATACAGAATGGGAAACTACTGTCTAGGAAGGATACTGCAGAAAGGGATCTAAGTGTAATAGTGGCCCACAAGCTAAATATGAGTCAACCTTGTGACACTGTTGCAAAAAAAGGAAACATGATTCTGGGATGCATTAACAGGAGTGTTGTGAGCAAGACACGAGAAGTCATTCTTCTGCTCTACTCTGTGCTGATTAGGCCTCAATTGGAGTACTGTGTTCAGTTCAGGGTACCACATTCCAAGAAAGATGTGGAGAAATTGGAGAAGGTCCAGAGAAGAGCAACAAAAATTATTAAACGTCTAGAAAACATGAGCTATGAGGGAGGACTGAAAGAACTGGGCTTCTTCAGTTTAGAAAAGAGAAGACTGAGGCTATGTCTACACAGTGGCAATTTTTCGGAACAGGAAATGCAAATGAAGCGTTCATTTGCAAATCTTGCTTTCTCATTTGCATATTCTCTTGAAATCCTTTTTGCGGAAGAGGTTTTTTAAAGAGCCTTGTGTAGATGGGGCCATTGGTTGGAAGGAGGTGGAGGCAGAAAAGGAGGAGGCAGAAAAATTATTCTCCTTGGCCTCCAAGGATAGGACAAGAAGCAATGGGCTTAAATTGCAGCAAGGGAGGTTTAGGTTGGACATTAGGAAAAACTTCCTAACTGTCAGGGTGGTTAAACACTGGAATAAATTACCAAGAAAGGCTGTGGAATCTCCATCACTGGAGATATTTAAGAGCAGGTTAGATAGATATCTATCAGGGATGATCTAGATAGGGCAGGGGACTGGACTCAATGACCTCTCAAGGTCCCTTCCAGTTCTAGCATTCTATGTTTCTATGAATGGACAGTTAAGTACATGAGTACATGTATACTAACTGTGTAGTATTTGTATGCACAAATCAGATGCATGCAATTGAACACATGCCATTACATTCACTCAGCTTTGAAATTCATACCCTCTAGCATTGTAATATATATTCGGTGAATTAATAAATTAGTAAACATTTATCATAGTAAAATAATTTTTAGGTAAGAAAAGGTTTCTGTATGATGTGAGGGGGTAGCTAATGTACTGAAGTGTATATCTTTAAAGCTGTTGAATGCTACTTATGCAAAATTCCAAAAATTCTATTATCCACATTTTTACTAGACACTTGATTCCAAATGTTGAGAAAATACTTTCAGCTTATGTTCAGACATGGAAATCTGTTCCAGTTTCTACATAAAGTATTTTTTTTTGTCAACTGCAGTGAATTAAATAATTTCAGTTCAAACTTATTTAGTTATTGAAAAGATAAGGTCATTTCTGCTAACATGGAAAAATAATTAAAATTGTCCTTCTTTAACAACAACTGAAAGTACCCTATTTCTGGTTTGTATTAGATTTATGTACACCTCTGGAACATCTGAAAGAATGCAGGATAGTAAAATTATGCACATTTTCTGTGACTAAAGATCTGCACTAATTTATGCATAAGTCGAAAGGAGTAGAGTTGTAGATGTCCTAGAAGGAGAAAACAATGTAAGAACATCTGTGAAATCCATCAGGATACAAGATGGATGCAAGAGGTGCTACTAAGAAGGATAATCAGGAATTATTATGTAAATTTCCCCCAAGTACAGAAGTCTTAGCTCCCACAAACTGCCTTCTTACCATGATTGCTCTAGGGTCAAAGTCTGATTTAAAAAAAAAAATACATCCTGTGCAGAACTGGTTAATTTTTTTGCATCAAAACTTTTTGGATAGAAAATGGCTTTTCAGTTAAATTAAGCAATTTTAATTGTTTTCATTTTATATTTCAGTGAAAGAAATGAAAACTCATACATGAAAAAGTTTTGGCAACTAAAAGCCACATTATGAAAATAATTGGTTTTCAGATTTTTTTTTTTCAAATAAAACTTTAAATGAAAACATTTTTTTCATTTCTGTTTTTTGTTTGTTTGTTTTTTGTTTTGTTCAGTAGTTTCCTACCAGCTCTAATTCTGTGCAGGAGAAGTGAGGATCATAGCTGTAATTCAGAAATTGCTATGAGGAAGAAGAATAAGAAACTTACGTTGATGATTACGCATAAAGTAGTGGATCAAAAGTATACGGATTCACTTAAATTTCAGTGGGTAGGTCTGGAAAGCAATTGTTTTAAGGTTTATGGGTGCTGAGATCTGAAATTTTGGTTTAATCAACAAGAACGTTGTGCAGAAAAACTACTATGAATTATGTTTGATATGTATAATCTTTCTCTCTGGTATGTTGTATTAGTAGTAATGGTGTGGGGGCAGGGGAGACAGGAGAAGGTTGGAGAGTTTAAAGGTAAAAAGACCTGATGGACTTGAAATCTGTGGAGGATATTTTCACTTGATTTTCATCTGCTTTTGCCTGGAGCAATTCATGCGTCTTACTCCAAAATGAGGCTTAGAGAACCCCAGACTTAATATGATTCCCTTTCCTCAGCGTGTAGCAAGATTTGAGTGGCCTATGAAAGGTTACACACTTCTTACATTCCATGGCACCCAATATGCCAAGGACTCCCATGGTGTGTCTACAGAGCTCCCTTACCTCAAAATAAGCTACGCAATTTGTGCTACACAATTTGCGCAGCTTATTTCAAGGTAATTTTTGAAATAGCTTATTTTGAAATTTTGAAGTAAAATGCTATTCCAACAAGTCCCTTTACCCTCATGGAACAACAGTTATAGGGATGCTAGAATAGCGTGCTCATTATTTCAAAATATTTCAAAATAATGGGCATGTTTAAAGACGCAGAATTGCTTATTTTGGGATACTTCCAGTATCCCAAAATAGCCCCGCTATCTAGATGTAGCCCTATAGGGTTGTGGTATATGGGCAGTGGTGTACGCTAGGGAGTTATTTCAAAATACCCCCCTTATTTTGAAATAATAAGCAGAGCATTAATGCGGTTTTGAAATCTCTACTCCTGCTTTCCTCAGGGAATAATGCTTATATCAGAACAGTCATTTTGAAATAATATTAGTGTGGATGCTCTGCTGCTGCTATTTCAAAATAACTACTCCTCAGAGTCATTCAAAGTAATTACTCCCCAGAGTTTCCTGGGGCGATACGTTGCAATAGCATATTCACAATAACAAAGCTTGGCTCGGAATAATTTCGAGGCTCCCCTATAGTGGGGACACTTTATTTCAATTTTGTTATTTTGGGAGTTGTTATTTTGAATTTAATGATTTTTGAAATAATTTCCTAGTGTAGACATGCCCTGGCAGAACTGGGGGCAAAGTTAGGTGAGGACTTAGAAGGAGTGGAAGTCCGGCAGGTGGATACAGTGGGACTGTAGGTTTACTTTCCTTACTTAAGACCTTCTCCAGTGACTTTTCTTGAGCAAATCTTTCATTTTCTTTCTTGCCTTTGTGTTGCTATGTAGAGCAAGTGCACCATAAAACTAAGAAAATATGAAGGAAAAATACAAATCACCATCACCTGTTCTATATCCACCCCATGCAACCAAATAAAATGCCTTAGGACTAAAGGAGATCATGCAGGCACATTTTCCTTTGTGTACAGCTTCATATAAAACAATGTTAATTTTACTTTATAATCAAAGCAGAGAAACAGAACGTTTTCCTTTGATGTAGACACAGTCTCTTTGGCAAGAAGGAGATGTACATTTATATTGTGACTGGGAGGCAAATGCTTGTTGTCAATTTTACTTTTTGTCAAATAAATGAAGTCCAGAATCAGCTGGGTGATTGAGGGCTGGAGTCACTGCAGCTTGCAAGGGTAAGCCAGGGTCTGAATGAGCTCTCCCCTGCCATCTAGTGAGGGCCTAAAGGAAGACACTTCAGGAGCAGTGTGTATATTTGCATAGAGTGGTGCTGCAGCTGTGTCAGACCAAGGATATTAAACAACATGGGTGAGGTAATATCTTTTATTGGGGCAACTTTTGTTGGTGAGAGAGACAAGCTTTCAAGCTTATACAGAACTCTTCTTCGGGATATGAAGTAGGCAGAGCTGCTTTGCCAAAGTGATCAGTTTTGGCATTGTTCAATGCCCCCCCTTCTTTCAGGGGTAGGAATCGATCCCACATGGATGCACTCTCGAGTTCCAGGACTTGGCTGATACAGACAACTGAGAGGGAAGGGAAAACGGAGTGGCATGTTGAAGGGACATTCATCCATCAAACTTTCATACTGCAAGGTGGGAAATTAATTGTCCATTCCTTCTCCCTTTTAATAAAACTTTCCTTTTGTTATACACAGACTAGGGGCTTGAGAGTAAGGAACTATCACCTCTTAGATGATCCTGTTAAATTTTCCCAGATTAGAGTAGGAGCTTGAACGAGTTCTGTTTCTCATTGTTCAGAGGATCCCCTAAATATTGAACTGGATGATCTAGCAGAAGAGTTATACAAACCAAAGACACTGAGCTGAAAACTGTGTCTTGTAGCTTTGGTTTTTGCAGGGAAAGAAAGAGGGAAAAGAGAAAAAAAGAAAACAAGGCAGAGTGTTCTGGAGAGCCACACCTGCCAAGTGCTGGCAGAGCAGAGCTCTCTCTCTTCCCCCTGTGTGTCTATATATGCGTCTGGCTGGTGAGTCCTATGATCACATGCACCTCGGGCTCCTGCCTCCCTCCCTCCCTCCCCAGCCCTCTCTCTCACTGCACTACTTGCAACTTTTGAAAACTAGTCTAATGCAGAAGCACTTACCATAGACCGGACTCTGTATCCTTCCTGGGATTCACCAGCAACCAAGGCTTACTGTTTTTCCTATCTGCTGAATAAAGATCTGGGATTCACAGTGGAACTTTTGTGCTGCTTTAAAAATGATTCCCCTTAGCAAGAAAGGCTCCTGTTCTTCTCATCTCTGTCTTGCTCTCTGTGCCTTCTGGCTAGTGCTGCTTTGGGATTTTTCCCAGGCTTTGCCTGTGGAGGATCAGGATTATTACCTACAGGAGATTATAAGCAGGGATCATTATTATTCTTATCCAGGTCCCGATGAGGAATTTTCCCCTTTCACAGAGCAACCTAGAGAGGAAGAAACAGTCCCCGTCGCAGAGGCAGAGGAGCCCCCAAGGTTCAGACCAGGCAAGAAAGAGTTAAAACAGAAGAAAGACAACAAAAAAGAAAAATCGATTCTCGAGATTCCACCAGGTAACTTTCCACCTCTTTCTCCAAACTTTAAGAGCTCTGCTGAGTCTCACACTGAATCTGACTTTTAGCACAAATTAATTCCCTAATAATGACAGTAATAATAATAATGAATGTGATGGTGATGATGACACTAACTTCTAACACCAGACTTGTTCTGCTCTTTGGAAATCTCACATGCACTTTCACCCTTTCCCTCTCACCTGTCATGTTAAGAGCTTTCAAAAACACTGCATTTTATTAATCAAATGAGACTCCAGCTGGTGCATGAACTTCCCTACTCATTGTTTTTCACATTTGGCTTGTTGTTGAAACTACTGTTTTGCAATCACATGAAGAGAGACTCACTCAGTGGTAAAATCTGATTGTTTATTTTATGGTGATTTTTTTTTATTGTACCACTGTTCATTTTAACTCTTCACCTTTGTACAAGTGAATAACTATCCAAAGGTTCTTTACCTTTGTACAGGTGAATAACTATCCAATTTCACTTTAAAGCCCTCCTATGAAAGAAGCCTAAACAGGGATTTTCCTTCAGAGAGATCAGTTCCTAGGGGGATTAATTTTAATTATTAGGAGGTACTTGTGAAAACAAATAAATGAAAGGGCAGCCATATCATTTGTCATTTCAATTATTCCATGTCACTACTTTGGCTGAAAGAAGATATGCTCTGGAAAACCTACACATTGCTATAATTCACAAAACTGTGGTCAATAAGCAGAGAAGTGTGGTTTATGTTATGATACAGTCACACTAAGTTGGAAAGGTGGTTTATTCTACAGGCATTCTCTGTTTTTATTGGCCTTGTTTGATTTCTTTGGTGAATATTCAAAATCAAAATGATTTCACAGAGTAAGCAACAATCTTATAAAATTTAGGGTGAAATCCCACAGTCCTTGATTAGGCAAAACTCTCTTTGGCTTTAGTAGGAATTTTGTATCCTTAAATACTATGCGATATGGTATCAACTTGGCAAATTAAAGACACGCACATCATATCATATATAGACCATATCATATCAAGCTGAAGAGGTAAGATTCTCATAGTAGCATTAGCTCTTAAGTTGCATATCTACTATATATTTGAGAGCGTTTGTCTGTGCATCTCTGCATGAATCTGTGTCTCTGTCTGTTTGTTCGAGAACTCCTCCTAAACTATAAGAGCTAGGACCACCATGTTCGGTATCCAGCTTCCTCTTATCATAACTTAAAACCAAGATAAGGGGTTGGTTGTGCCAGGGAAATGGGATGCGCCTGGAATAGGATTGCGTCTCATAAAACCATACAGAAAAGAGACAGAATCATGAAGAGATGAAAGGGACTGGTGGTGATGTACCATCCCCTCGTCCAGGACTGCTCTGGTCCCAAGCATCCCATCCCCTAGGTGCCCTTTCTGGAGCCTGATTCATACTTGAACATTACTGGCTGTTCCCCCCTCTTCAGGGAGCATAGGGAAAGTGCACAATTTGCTGCATTCCTCCATTTGTCTGGGTAGCACGGGGGCAGATGAACTGGACCTGACCCAGCTGGGGAACACATACCCTTTTCCCAGCTGTGAATGCTGGAGCAGTAGCAGCCATGGAGAGATGTTTCTCACCAAACCACTCATCCCCAGACCCACCCAGCAATGATTCAAACAAAGCATGTACATTTTCATTTTATTTTCTAACCCCCCTCAAATTAATTGAGTTAAGGACCCAAGCAACGCTGGATAAATCTTCTAGTAGGTGATATTAAATTTAGGGTTGCAGTTTAAGTGTAGAACTAGTAAAGATCAATTACTACAAAAATATCATCAACAAAAAACTGAAAACACTTTTTGTAAGTTATGCATTTAAATTGTCCCAAATTTCCCATTTTGGCAGTGTGGAAAATTGTTTGAGGGTCAGCAGATCTTAGCTGCAAGTACAGGTCCTTGCAGAGGATCTTAATGACAGAGAGTCTGCCTGATGTGAGGGTAGCAAAGGTACAAGAAACCTATAAACCTGATGCTCTACTGGGGATCAGCAGTGAGGTTCAAAAGCAAAGTGCGCTGACAAGGTATCTCTGTGATGTGCTGATTGAGCGTATTGTCTGGGCAGTCCATGCAGTTAATACTTCCTCCCTGCATGTCCTTGAAATGTGCTAGTGCAAGTTCTGTCTTTCCTCCCATTTTGTGTGGAGCAAGCCAGGAGTGCAATCGCCCGTTTGTGTACAAGGCTCAGTTCACAGCTCTCCAGACTTCAGGGGGCATGTAGGAAGCCCCACATATGGACAGCCAAATTATCCCCAATAGCTCAAATTGATGTCTAGAAACTTTGTGTGCGTGCAATGGGAGAATTTACCTGCCTCCAAGCTCCCTGACTCTCCTGCAACTTCCATTGCAAAACAGCTGCGAACATACTCCTAGAGAGCCCAGCATTACCCAGGGGCTTTGTAGTAGAGGCAGGGATAGAATTTTCTCCTCTCCTCTTCTTGCAATCTCCTTCTTCATTCGCTACACACTTTCCAACTTTTGCAACAAATGAGGCCAGAGCCCTCCAAACAGCAACCCCCTTTAAACTATCCTGATTAAATCCCAGTACAGGTCCCTTTTGTGGAGTTAATAAGGTTGGAGTCCTATGGGAAAAAACTTGTATGTAAAATCATGTAATTAAAGACTCTCATAATGCGTATGCACATGGGAGCTGAATTACTGGCCTTTTTTAGTGCCTTGTTTCTTTAAGGGCCAGAGGCCTGGGCCCATCCAATCTTAGATAGTAAGGAGGTACACCTGAGACTGGATCAGCTGATTCCCTACAAAGATTGCAAGGAAGAAGAGCAGAAGGTCTGCGAAAAATAAGGAAGTACATAGAAAGGAAGGAATAGTGAGGACTGCTGGAGACAGGAGGCCTGGCTATAAGCTAGAGGATATTTTCATGAAGGCAGAGACTAAAGCCAGAAAGGTATCTTCATGTTTGCATTTTTGTATTGGAAAACAAAGCCTCGCAGAAGGGCCTGCAAGAGTGATCAGCTTGTGAGTTTCATTGGGCAGCCTTGGAGAGGGGTGAGATTGATGGAAGGGGGCCTGCAGAGTGACCTCATGCCACACGGGGGCATTTGGGAGGCAGCACACTGTGAGGCTGGTTTTCCCAACTTTTGAGCACATGGTGGTGTCTCAACCTCAATGTTCTTTTAACATCTTTTTTTTCTTTGTAATTTCCTAGATATTTTATTTAAAAAAAAGAAGCAAACTGTCAAAACAGAAATTCCATATTGTGGCATTGTATTGACACTGATCTGATTCATCAGGTGGGCTGGAACATTTAGATCTATCACATGGACTTCTGCCACTTGACCCCAGGGAGTAACTGACAGCAACAGTAGCTGGTCATCCTCTGTGTGGACCCATATTAGTTGGGGATAAGATACATTTTGCCAGTGGGTTTCATGCACATTTGCTGACAGCAGACGAATGGTGAGACTTGGGAATGTTGGTGTCCTTGTCCCCGCCATATTTGTTCCTCATCCTAGTGTCTTGCAGCACCAGTCCCTCACCTAGCCACTCTCTATCTCCTTGTTCCAGTTCCTGTGTCCTTGACCAGTCAGTTTAGGCTTCTTCGACTAGTTAGTCCCAGACTCCCTGTCCCCACATACTCTCAGTCACAGTTCCCTCAGCTTCTTGTTCCAGTCATTCCCAATCTCCTTTTCTCCCCTGCCTCCTTTTCCAGTCTGTGTCTCATTCTTTCATCCCTTGTTCCCCATCCCAAATCCCCCATCAGATTCCTTGTCCCAACTCTACCCTAACTTCCACATTCAGCTCCTTGTTTCTTCCGCATTTCTTCCTCCTCCTCCTCACTACTTGGGTCCCAGATCAGTGGGTAATGAGAGAGCACGAGTGACTATTTCCTTGTTCTGGTGATTTGGTGCCATATTGCCTTAAGCTATTACAGAGAAAGTCCAGTTCAGCCTTGGGCTGGAGTATGTTTAGTGCAGAGAAACTGAGCTGCCGATCTCTAATAAGTCTCTGTGGAGCATGTGTGATCTGAAATCTTTCAGACCTATAGCATGGCCGTATTTGGACATTTTTGTCAGTGAGACAGCAATGGGCATATCCCCAACGCCAGTGTGACTCTGATGAATTTCAAGTCCCTGCTGTGAACTAAGAGAGGCTCTAAACCATCTCAAATAATTGGTCATAATTTTTTTAACATGGGGGGGAGAGGGGGAGGTCACATTTTCCTCTTACTCATGCTCTGGAATGTCTGAAACATTTTAATTGAAACTACTGAAAATCAATCAGCCTAAGCCAGACACCCAGAAGGCTGAAACTCAGCTGGAACGCATAAGGACTGGTACATTTTAACTAACTGAAAAAAGGGATCCTTAATAAGAATTATTGAAGAGCCTTAACTATAGGTGACACTAGTAGCTCCATATATACTGTATATCAGTGGTCTCCAACCTTTTAAACTACAAGATCACTTTTTCAATTTAAGTGCCATGTAAGATCTACCTCAAACCTAAATACCCTTGCCCCGCTTCCTTCCTGCCCCTTCTCTGAGGCCTCACCCTGCCTGCTCCATCCCCCTTCTTCCCCCAACCTCATTCACTTTCATGAAGCTGGGATAGGGAGTTGGGGTGCAGGCTTTGGTCTTAGGCCAAGGAGTTCGGAGTGTGGGAGAGGGCGGGGACTTGGGGTCTAGGAGTGGGTTTAGGATGCAAGCTCTAGGAAGGAGTTTGGGTGCAGGAGAACTCATGTCTGGAGCAGGAGGGAGTTCAGGACTGGGACAGGGATTCAGGATGCATGCTCTGGCTGGGCACCACTTAACTGAGACGACTTGGCCCTGTACCCCTCCTGTAAGCAGCAGGCAGATACAGCAGTGGCTCCATGGCGCCATGTGCTGCCCCTTATCTACAGGCACTGAGCCCACAGCTCCTACTGGCCACAGTTCCCTGTTATTGATCATTGGGAGCTGCAGGAGTGGTGTCTGCAGGCAAGGACAGGATGTCGAGCCCCCCTGCTCAGGCTGCGGGGACATGCC